TGGTTTCTCGCTATGTTGCCTAGGCTGGTCTCCATCTCTAACTCTTGGACTCAGGTGATTCACAATTCTTTTTTGGCCTCCAATGGTGTTGAGGATTGACCCTTGTGCATTTGAGGCAAGCACTCTACCAACTGAACTATATCTCCAGCCTCTTGGATGTATTTTTAATTGTCACAATGGAGGTAGTTACTGGCAGTGATGTTGATAAGTATCCAGCAATAGGGCAGCCCTCCACATCATCAAAGAATTATCAGACTGCCCTGAAAGCATTGCTTCCCCTGTAGCATTCACAAATGTCTGGGTTTCTTTCTTTTTTCTTTTTTTTGTACCACTGGGTCTGGGGGTAGGGTAGAGGACTTCCTTCCTTTTTATTGCTGCTTCCCTAACTTCTTAAACAATAAAACAGCTTGGCTTTTAACTTTACATCCTTAGATGTTACTTCTCACTACTTCTCCCTGTTGTCACGGAGAGATTTTTTACCTCCTCTTTCAACTCTCATTCTCTCCCACATTGGGATTGTGTTAGATCCTGGTGATTTCATGATCCAGGCAGATGACCCTTCCAACATCTTGGACTCTTAGTACTCTACTCCTCTTCTTAAAGGAATATGACTCTCCACCCTTCCTGTGTCACTCTCTTCCTTACCATCACCATGAATTGCAACCCTACTGATATCTCAATTCAAGCATTCACTTTCTGACCACCACTTCCTTGTGTGTAGTTCTGATTTATTCTGTTTTTAGCCCATTTCCTCTAGAAGTGTGATTTCAACAAACCTTTGATCTGATTTTAGGACTCTCAATTTACTGACCCTTAGAATTTTTCCCTGACCCTGGTGAAATTAAATTTTCATGTACACAGTACTTGTATTCATGCAGCTAAATGTGGCAGGAAAAGAAAACCATTCAATTATGGTAAATATGTTCTGTGTTTATGTTCACAACTCTCAAGTGGGCCCTTAATGTTGCTCAACAATATATTTGTCTAATTTATTTACTTGCTTTTCATTAACTATTTTACTCTTTTTTTCCTTTAAATTTCAAACTTTCCTTTCCTTAAACTTATTCTCAGCTGCTGACCTTGCTTCCTGTTTCACTAGGAAAACAGAATAGAATTTCCATACACTTCCACTACCCCATCAACTCACACACCAGTTACTCTTTCCTAAACTACTGACATTTTCCTCCTGTCACTGTGAATGAATTGCCCAGGCTCCCAGACAGGGTCAACTCAAGCTGTGGTATGCTGGAGACCATCACAAGGCTCACAAATACTGATTTTTTAAAATTTCAGGAGTTTGGGGGTGGAGTGGTGACTCAGTGGTAGAGTGCTTGCCTCATATGTGTGAGGCACTGGGTTCGATACTCAACATCATATAAAAATAAATAAACAAAATAAAGATATGGTGTCCATATGAACTAAAAAACATATAGATATAAGGAGTTTTATGAGTTGCTTATTAAATTGGAATCAGCCACTAGAAGAGTATTTATATTGTGGAAAAGAACAAGTGCTAAACATCAGTGCAAATCAGTGTTCTTTCTCAGAAAGCTTTTTGTTGTTGCTTGTTTGTTTTTGTTTTTGTACTGGGGATTGATCCCAAGGGTACTTACCATTTAGCTACATCTCCAGCCCTTTTAATTTTTTTATTTTTGAGACAGTGTTTCACTAAGTTGATGAGGCTGGCCTTGAACTTGTGATCCTTCTGCCTCAGTCTCCTGAGTAGCTAGGATTACAGGTGGACATCACCATGCCAGACCAGAGAGCTAGTTGTTATATATATATATATATATATATATATATATATGCCATAAATATACATATATATATATAAACATTGAGAAATTTATGTAACTGATTTTAATATAGTATATTTTCTGATGTAACTTTTCCCTTACAACATTGTGACTATGAGATACATTCAGATTGATATGTGTAATTCTGATTTATTTATTTTCACTTTCCTGCCCTACCCTGCAAGAATGTAAACTCCATGAAGACACAGATTTTTTTTTTTTTAATTTTCTGTTGTATCTCTAGGGCTTCATACAGTGCCCGGCAGAAAACAAACTCAATACATGTTTATTTGATGGAGTGAAAGGGGTGTGCCTGAAATTCGACATCTGCCACTCCTCTGAGGTAAGGCATTGCTTAATTTTTTTTAGTGATTAGTAGATTTTTAAAAATATTTTTAATATATATGTATATTTTAGTTGTAGATGGACACAATACCTTTATTTTTTAAATTTATTTTTATGTGGTGCTGAGGATCAAACCCAGTGCTTCACACGTGTGAGACAAGCACTCTCCCACTGAGCTACAACCCTAGCCCTAGTGATTAGTAGATTTTAATACACTGAACCACTTGCATTTTCAAACTAATATCAAGGAATTAATTTTGCATATCCTTTTCTAACCAGAAGAGGGCAAACTTGAAAAAACTATAATCAATGGAAGTGTCCTCAAAGTAGAACTTTGTGTGATTTGGAGATCCAAAGCCACCAGGTGGCAGTCTGAGCATGCTAGAAACCCAAAGTGAGGCAGCCAAATGGCAGGGATCTCTGAATGCAGGCCTGGGACCTCAAACATACAATTTCCCACTTTAATTTTAATTTTAGTCAACTCATCTACCTACCTACCTTTCTTTCTTTCTTTCTCTTTTTCCTCCTTCCCTCCCTCCCTTCCTTCCTTCCCTTTATTTCTTTTATACTGGGGATTGAACCCAGGGCCTCACACATGCTAGGAATATGCTCTACCACTGAGTTACACATCCTAGCCTTTTTTATTTTTTATTTTGAGACAGGGTCTTGCTAAGTTGGCCTTGAATTTGTGAGCCTTCTGCATCAGCCTCCCAAATTTCTGGGATTATAGGCTTATGCCATGGTGCTGGGCTCAACTAGTCTTTCATTACAATTTTTCTTCTGCAGATTTATATGTTATACTTTTTTTCTCATATTTGCCAATACTAAATTTAAGATGTTGAAGCAAAATAGATTTTTAAAAAATTATTGAGCTAAAACATGTAAAAATCATCATTTAACCATTTTAAGTACAATTCAGTGGGTTTTGGTATATTCTCAGGTTTTGCAACTACCACCACTAATTTCAAAATATTTGCATCATCCTAGAAAGAAACCTTATGACCCATTAATTAGTTACTCCCCAGTCTTCCTTGCCCTCATCTCCTATTAACCACTAATCTACTTTTTGTTTCTGTGGATTTGTCTATTTTGAGGATTTCACAGAAATGGAATTAAACAATATGTTGGCCAGATTTTTTCCCCCAGTGCTAGGGATTGAACCCAATGCCTGGTACATATTAAGCAAATACTCTGCCACTGAATTACATCCCCAGCCCTGTGAGCCAGATTTTAAACAGCAAGATTTAACTAACAGGTAAACATATGAAGCTATGTTTTTAGAAGTTTCATTTAAAATATTGAAATTATATGCAAGATAGAAAAACACACAGTTTTGGAACAACTAGCAACCCTAACTTGCTTTCATAGTTCTTAATAGGTCATTAAAATCAGAGTTTTAATGACAATCTGAATTGAGCTTATCTGCCTTCTTGGGCAGGAACATATTTTGATTCTTTTAATTGCTTTGATATAGAAATTGAAGGATGGAAGTGATAAGACTGATTAATTTCTTAGCAAAAAGTAAAGCAATATCCAGACTTTACCCTTCATCTTTCAGGCTTCTGCTAAAGGCAAGATCCTTTCATAGACTTTTTTTCTCTGGGCCTGGAGCTGTCTTCCAGTATTCCTGATGGTTTTGTCCACACTCTACAGATATCTCTGGGGACCGCTGGGCTATTGTTAAGCAAATATTAGGGGAAGCACAGAGAGGGGTTTTTCTACTTTATAACTTCCAAGCCTAGACATTGTGAGTTCACAACAACATTTATTCACAATTTTCTTCATCATATTTGGGATACATAGAAAATAGATTTTCTCATATTGCTTATAGATAAGCAAATTTTGTCAGGAACAAAAGCAAAAAGAATTTCTAATTCAAGGAGATGTAAACAAGAGGTTTGAGTATTTTAAGTAGAGATCTTTTGTATTTGGAAAGAATTTAAATTACATTTTGGAAAAAGCATGGGTCTTTCTTCAAAACAAATGTCTTTAGTTGTTAATCTCTCTACTACACATGAATCAGGAAATCATAATATAGGCATAAGGATCATCAGGCTTCAAAAAGTTTGAGATTCTCCCTCAGCACTGAAGGATGCATGTGCTTTAAGATTGAAATGCATTGAAGTAACAAATGGGGAGAAATAATCCTATCTAAAGTTGTAATTTTTATAGCAATAGGAATAGTCAGGTATGTCTTGAAGATTACAAAAAAATAGATTTTAAAAAAGTTAAAAGAAAAAGGCATAATTCATTGGAATGATTTTTTATTCATTAAGTATTTAATAAGTGCCTATTTTTTGCTCTCTACTGTACTAGATGTATCATGGCCAAGGTTACTCAATTGACCTCAAATGCTCAATTATGATCACATAAATTAAAAATGACCTCGGTGAAGAAGAAAAGAAGGTGTCTGAAGATATCATTATAATAAAATGAATCATTTTCTGATTAGTTCAGACTTTAGTAGATAACAGGCATGATGGAAATAAAAACATGTGACTAAGGATGAATAGAGTGCCATACGCCTGTAAAAATGGCATCAGAAATCCCGAGTGGAGAATTGCAAAAATGCTAAAAACAAGAGTTTTATATATCATATTTAAAGAAAATAAATGAATAAATTTAAAAAATTAGGTCTGCTACTTTGGGATGACTATAATATGGACAAATAACAGTGTAAGCAGAACTCTTTGAATCTTACTTCTGTGACAAAGAAAATGGCTTTTGTACTGAAAAAAAAAAAAGATAAATCAACAGTGGGTTAGAAGGCACTGAAGCCTAAGATGAGTGAGACTATCAAAATTGTGCAGAGATCTAAATAATTTTCAATCATGTAGCCTATATGAATTGTAACCTAACATTCTTAGCCTGAAATATGTAGCTAACCAGATATTCCCTCATTTGAAACCAAAAAGAATGAAAGCAAGATTGCATATTGGCAAGTACAGCGTCATTTTTCCAAAAGGAGAAGGTGAAACATCTAAAGTATATACTGGTGAAATTGATTTTGATCCTAGGCTAGATTCAAGAAAGGCTTATTGAAAGTATCATTAATGTGTTCTTACACAGGAAGCACATTATTAAAAGTGAGATTTTGTGTTGGGCACGATGGTGAACACCTGATATCCAGTGACTTGGGAATCTAAGGCAGGAGGATTGCAAGTTTGAGACCAGCCTGAACAATTTAGGAAGACGCTGTCTCAAAATAAAAAACTTGTGAGGATGTAGCTTGGTGTGGTAAAGCACCCCTGGGTTTAATTGCCAGGGGAGAAAAAAGTGAAAGTTTACTAGGGATATAAAAATATATTTCAGATCAACTTATTTTCTTCCTTTTTTTTTTTTTTTTTTTGTACCACCGATTAAACTCAGGGATGCTTGACAACTAAGCCACATTCCTCCCCGCATTTTTTAAAAATTTGAGACAGGGTCTCGCTAATTGGCTCAGACCTTCTTTCTCTAAGTTGCTGAAGCTGGCTTTGAATTTGCAATCTCCTTCCTCAGCCTCCGGAGCTACTGGGAATACAGGCTTGTGCCACAGCACCCAGCTTCTACTTCTTTTCTTTTCTTTTTTCAATTTGTTCTTTTTAGATATATATGACAGTAAAGTGTATTTTGACATATTATACATGTATGGAGCATAACTTTGCATTCTCGTGGTTGTAATTAACTTCTTTTGACAGGATTAATGGATTTGTAAAAGAAATATAAATGAGAGCAAATCTCTCTCTCTCTCTCTCTCTCTCTCTCTCTCTCAACTTTATTTTATTTATTATGAGGTGCTGAGGATAGAACCCAGTGCCTCACATGTGCCAGGCAAGCACGCCACCACTGAGCCCCAGCCCCAGCCCAAGAGCAAATCTTCACTTCTCTAAGGCTGTAGAATAGGTTTTCAGACTCCAAGGTCTTAAGTATAAAGGATTGTGCTACATTTGCCTTTGGGTCCTGCCAAATGCCTGAAACACTTTTTAATACTTTGTTGAAGTCTCTGCTCCAAACAAACAAATATACAAGTTGAACGAAGGATGCAGAAATATGACTCAGATGGTAGAATAATTCAGTGATTATTGATTAGACAACTTTGCCTAAAGGGTCTATTTAGTGGATGGATATAAAACTAGATGAATGAGATTTAAATTGAGAAACAGTAGGTGTGGAAAATGTTGTCTCAACTTTGAAAAATGATATATTTACATGCAAAATAGGGAAAATCTTTATGTATTACTGTCAGGAGGATCAATTAATTTAGCTGTTCTGGAGAGCAATACTCAGTAAAATTGATAATATGTATATTCTAAAAACCAACAATTTGACTCCTGAGTATATATCCTGGAGAAATTCTTCACAGATCCTCAGGGAGACAGAAATGAGGTTGTTCATTGTGGTTTTGTGGTTTTGCTCAGACATGAGCAAGAAGGGCCTTTGCTCTAGTACTGCACTTTACACATCTTTCCATATAACAGTGACCCAAAAAGTATATTCTTAAAGTACACATAGGTGTCTTGGTCACTGACTTGGTACTTAGGACCAACACCGCTGAATTAGAATGCTATAAGGTCTTTAGGTTATGCTGCTACTAACCTAGGACATGGATACAACTTTGGAGCATAGGGAGCCCTTGAGTAGAAAAAATGCTTAGATAAGGGAGAAAACAAATTAATGACTTGTCAAGTTCTTCTTCTCAGATCCTAAAAATGAAATAGATTTTTGCATAATGGAGTATCCTTTTCCAGTAGAGCTGAGCACCTTTTTTTTTTTTTTTTTTTTTGCTTCTCTTGGTGTTTCAATTCATGGTACTCATGAATTAGCACCACCCTTGTGACAGACAAACCTAGCAGGTGAGGAGCATTTGCAATAATGAGCAATATTATTACCATATATGTACAGGTGTAGTTTATTTTATTTATTTATTTTTTTTAGAGAGAGTGAGAGAGGAGAGAGAGAGAGAGAGAATTTTTTTAATATTTATTTTTTTTTAGTTCTCAGCAGACACAACATCCT